CAACAAAGTATTATTTATTTATTATGTTACTTATTACTATCACCTTTTTGTTTTGGAGTACTTTGCAATTTTCAGCAAAATCTTATTTATTTTTTACTTTACTCATTACTATTACCTTTTTGTTTTGGAGTCGTCTTCGGAATCTACGTGCGATACAGTCGAATTTACCAAAAATGTAACCCATTGGAAATTGCATTGTCAGGCAATTTTGCAAGCAGGTGCAGCGATCTCGTAGGGAGTTTCAGAGCAACCCTTGCCACTCCATACCCCTCCACGTACCGTCATAATTAACCGTCCGTTCTACGTTCACCAATTTTCGCAATATTCCCATTAGCTCCGTAACCAGACCTTGCTCAACGAGAATTTGCGACCTACGTCTACAAATCGAATGAGCTATCCTGTAACAAGCTAAAGACGATCAGTGGTCGGGATCCCTTATCCAGTAAAACAACAGACACTTTTAACCCTTACAACCCTTAACTTTCCAAATTAAATTTAAAAAAATATCAATGTATTTATAGTTTCAACAATTTTGACTGATGACGTTTATTTGTTTAACTTTTGTATAAAAAAACATTGTGCGATGGTAACGCACATACAGCCAGATATTAAAAACAAACCGAGTGCAAGTTGTGCAATTTTTCAACAAATTTATGATTATAAATAAATTCATTGAATTTTTGTATTTATAGTAGCTATGGTTTGTTTAACCAAAAATTCGTCTCTTAATTCTATGACAAAAAATTGATATTTATTTCTGTTAGTATCATACGAACTTTCAACTCGGAGAACATTTTAATTGTATAAGATAAAGCCAATGAACGTTCAGTTATTTTATGCAAAAGGTCAAGAAATAGTTAGTCATTTTATTGTAAAATGTCACGGAATAGCTTGAAACTCGATTTTTTCGAAAACTAAGGTTTAAATGAAAAAATTGTATTCCATATTTTGTTTTTATTTTTTCATAAAGAATCACCTCGTGGCCGCTAGTACATGTTATTCGGCCGCACCCTGTATAAAATGCCAAGAAATGCTCAGTTATTGTACATATGTAGAAAGTCAATGATTGATGATTTTATGTACTTACAAGGTCAACGAATTTTCTGTTATTTTATATCAAAGGCCGAGAACTAAAATTCTCGAGAAGAATTCTTTTTTTTATTGACGAGTCTCCTCAAGAATGTTTCTTTATTAAAGAGTTCAGTCGACAACTTTCCTTCATTTAAGGGGTTTGTGGGTAGGTGAAATCTGAGAAAGAGATGCAAAGAGATAAGAATACGAAAACTTTGCAGACGAGCAAAATCGGCATAATCTGGAGTTATTGGAAAGATGCCTCTGCGTGGTTTGCATCGACGACGACATACTGCCAACGACGTTCAACAATCCTTTGAAGAAGGAGGACAGATGGATCGGGGATCGAGATTATGCGAACGTGCTCCATCATGCTCTCCACGGTGGTGGTTCAAGACATTTAGGTGCAAATCGTTGGTTCGACAAAACTTTCCACGCTATTCTTGGCAAGGTATGCAAATCTACATGCATCCATCTTTTTATGAATTATCTGAACAACAATTAACTCTTATCTAGTCCACTTTTCCTTTGTTTGTTTTATAAGGGTACGTAATCTGTTTTATATTGATTATTGCACCCATTGGTCCTCTCTTGCGCATGTGTTTCTTTCTAAATTACATTACAATGCTTTATATTATTCCTTAATTTCTTACATTAAATTCCTTTATAAATTCCTAGTCCACTTTTTATCATATTGAATTTCTTTATCCTATTCTTCCCTGTCCCTTTTGTTAACACAGCTGCACACCAAATCTGTAATCAACAATGTGCCCAAGATTTGGTCAAATTATTGAATTCATAAAAATTGTTCTAGTTATTCAAACTACCCAGGATATATAAATTACACAGAGTATAGAAGTTATACAAATGATAAAACTCATTAAATATATACAATTTATAAAGACTGTACAGTATATGCAATTTATATAATTTTGTGCAAACTGCTCGTGTTATATAAAATTATACAAGTTGTTTAAATTACTCAAGATACAGAAGTTATAAAAATTATACTAATTATACGAGTTGTAAAAGTCATAAAAATTATACAATTTTAAAAATTATACAATTTATTCATTCACGTTCAGAATTAATTTGTTTAGAACCTTAGTGAAAAGCTCTGTCGACCACATACGTATAGATTTGCCAAGGATTGTTTGTAGAAACTCTATTTTATACATATATTTTTACGTATTTGTTTATTAAAGGACGGGATGTGGGGTTTGACTTACGAGCACTCGGCTGGCGAGGCCCCAGCGGTTTTCAAGGCGTTTGAGGAATTGACGGAGAAAGTCGACGCCATGTCGCCACCCGATGAAAACTTGGTACCATCTCATCTACCTGGCCCAGAGAAACTCGAATGGCACTTGTCAGAACAGAGTCTTAACCATATCAGAGATGCCATGACGTCCTTCGACGCGTGAGTGACGCTAGCTTTTCAGTAAATAGCCATAACTCAAAATGTCGAAGGAAAGAGATAATTGGTTCAAAAAGTACTATATTTGTAGGACTGCACTTTTTTTATAAGTCCAATGCTGCGCGTGCAATAAATAGTTATATTATTTTAAAAAAATGGAAATACATATTTTTTGCCTTTCAATGATATACTTCTTTTTTCTAATAATTGTGCAGACTGGTGGAGGACTTGGACTTGTGCATTCTACGATTCGAAGACTACTCAAAGGAGTTTGTAAAGTCATGCAGAGTGAGTCCGGACGTCTACGTACAGCTAGCATTACAACTTACATACTTCAGGTGAGTTTCAAGAATAAAAAATAAAATTCAAAAAGATTCGAAGTTAATTCTAGTATGATTGGTTCGTTAGAAACGTTAAACGTTACGTTCATAAATGGCATATCATTCGGTCAAAGAAAAAATATTGCGTTGCGTTTAAAAAAATGAAGGTGACCGATATCTTAGAGCCTTCTTTGTCCAGAAATAAATAATTGCCACCATCTTTTTTTCCCCAATATTTTAATACAACTTCAAATTTCATAGATAACTGCATAGAAGCGTCGGTTGTGTTGTAAGAATCACTCTGTATAAGGATACATTTTATTGAAACATAACATTTAAAAATAGAATTTTAGCGTGACTAACTTATCAATGACTCCTGTGTGCGTAGATTGCACGGAAACGTAGTTGCAACTTATGAGAGCGCGGGCATCCGAAGATTCGCGCTTGGAAGGGTGGACTGCATCAGGGCGGCCAGCCCTGAAGCCCTAGCCTGGGCAAAGGCCATGTGCCAAGGGGATCCTGAAACTCAAGCAGCGAATCAGCAGAACAACGTCCCAGACGAAGGCACCAAAAGAGTTCAGTTCACCATTTACAGTGTAACTGAAACTTGGCTGTATTTCGTAGAGTTTTTCTCTTTTCTAATCGCGATACCAGCTTCATCGATAGACGAGACCCAGCAGAATTCCTTCGGATTATTTCAGAATTATTCGAAGGCACGATGACGATGCAATTGGTTGCCTTCGAACGAACTTTACATACGCATAAATTTTTAATGAATTCTAGGCATAAAAAACTACTAAACGGTAAAAAAAGACGTGAATAAATTTGTGTGTGAAGTAAAGTTCAGCCTAAAAAGTACAAAATGAAATTAACAAAAGTCGTTTACTTAATGATTCAACGGTGTAAATTGAATCTAGGACAAAATTTGGATGTCCGTCATTGTACGGATATCCAGATATTCGATTATTCGAATAGTTCCAGCTCTAAGTAAAATACGTTCAGATATGTGTAACGACACTACCTTGAAATTATAGTTTATTCGATGGCTTTGAAAATTTCTAAAAAAAAATCTAAACAAAATTTGGTGAAGCGTATCGACACCTTCATACCATTCCAATTGCATATGAAATATAATTAAAAGAGACATTCACGTGGCCTGGTTTGGTGAACCATCCTATCTATACAGGGTGTCACACTTAAACCAGGCCCCCGAATGTCTTTTCTAATCGTGATGATACAGAAAATATGTCGCATGCAATTTGAATATTGTGAAACATTCGCTACCTTATTTTTTAAGGAGATCTCAAGATCGTCGATCTAAAAAGTCCTGGTTGTAGAATAACAATTGCCGGACACTGTGATCCCAAGACTGGCAAAGGCAGAAAGAATATAAATACGGATCCCCAAGAGGGACAAGGGGGATGGTACAGTCGAGGGAACGAAGAAATGATAAACGAAAGAAAAACTCTGGAAAAAAGGCAATCAATTAGACCCAGACCGTGTTCGTTCTCTTTCCTGTTCGAGTGTTTGCGCGTCACTCGAGTGGCCCCGGGGCAACTTTCATGGGGCTTTACCGTTTGCTTTCTTTCCACGGTTCACCCTCGTTTCGATGGTACCGCAACCGAGCTAGCTGTTGTTTCTCGTTTATCACGATGTTATTTCAGCCGTTCCGTTCCCCGCAATTACGCCGATGTTCATCGAAAATGCACGATAATGAAATCGACTCCCTCCAGTGCGTGTACTATTTTCAACCCTAACGAGCACGCGGTCCGAGACAAAACGAAACCAAATTCAAAGGAAACATTCAAGTTGAATAACAAGCACGATTATCGGGAAATGTTTATACGCTTGTTGGCAAAAGCTAAGACGCAAAGTAGTTATCGAAGCATTTCGGTATGCAAACATATGCACAATTACTTTAATGGGTAAAAACACGTTGGAATATTATTCCTTAGAAAGTGAAAAGTTTTTACAGGAGAAGTACAGTGATTGTATAATAGTAATTATAATATGTATAATATGTCAATATTCAGAAATAAATGTTCAAACTGAATTTGTATACATTGCACATGACAAATTCGGTACACGTGCATGTGTATGTATATATAGATTTAAAAAATTGAAATTTAGATTAAATTAGAAAATAGATTCAAGAGATTCAAAAGGTATGTTTCATTTGATTGAGTGTTTAGGATTAAATAAACTTAATTTTTGGAAGTTATAGAATTATTGGACTCGAGTACAGATTACGTTATATATTTATAAATAATGCAACTCTTTATTAAAATTCTAATATTCATGGATGATTATTAATAAATATTCGCGAAGCCTCTGTACTTGGACCAATAAGTTTAGCTTTGATTTTATTAAAATCAAATACTACGAAATGTACATATGACGACTCTCTATATTTGAAACACTCTGTAGACGACGAACACGTATGGAGACCTTTCCTCTTTAGCCACAATTGAAACGAACCGTTTTTTATTACGTTTTCAGCAAGAGAGAATCAAGGAGCTATTCGATTTGGCGGTGCAGAGGCAGACCAAAGAGATGAACGACAACATAACTGGACAAGGAATTGACAACCATTTAATGGGACTTCGTTATGCCGCGAAAGAAGCTGGAGAACCGGTTCCAGAAATCTTCGCGGATGAGGCTTATGCGATCATCAATCATTTCGCCCTATCGACGTCGCAGGTCAGTGCTCACGATTAGCGATCAATAAGAAAACGAAACTTTCATGTTTCGAATGACAATTTGTCCTCCAAGATCTTAGAGGTATCGTCAAATAATGATCATTAATATTTGAGAAGATTGTCGTC